TGCAAGGCTGGGAGCTGTCCGTGCAAGCCCTTCTCTGCCCAGCAGCAACCGTCTCCCCGACCTCCCTTCCGCCCCATCCTGGTTTCGGCCACCCCCAGCTCCCCCAAGCTGTGCTGTGGTCAGGTTGCAGCTCTCTGTGATGTCTGGCCGGCTGCCAGTGTGGCACCTGGTTTTACCCGTCATCCCACGTCCAGAACCGGCCTGGCTAAAGCCTCCAAGCGGCACACACCGCCCAGACCTGCCTTGACGTTGGGTTTAAAAAACCACGATGTGTAAAGAGGTCTGAACCCAACTCCCAGGTGTGGTTTCAGGGGGGTCAGCTTCCTAGCCCTGGCGGGATGGGGCCCAAGGGCTGAACCTCTTAACGACTCTCTCTGATTAATTGCAGTGGTGGCCATTTCAATCCAGCTGTCTCCCTGGCGGCGTGGCTGATCGGTGGGCTGAACATCGTGCTGCTCCTCCCTTACTGGGTTGCCCAGATGTGCGGAGGGGCGATAGGTGCTGCCTTGGCAAAGGTATGGCCGTCGGAGACGTACGCTTGTTAGGGAGCAGAAAGGGTTAATCTGAGGGGGGTCATCGCAGCCACGGGCACAGGCCTTTGCGGGGCAGGGCGTGTTTGGGGGGTTCTGCCCCGCTCCATACCAGCTTGTCCCATGATGCTGGGATGAGGCCAGGGCAGGGGAGAGGTCCAGCATCAGCCCCCACTGGGCTTCCTTCTGGTTTTGGCTCTGCCAGGACACCTGGGTTGGACACCCCGCTCTCCTGCACACTCACCTGATGGTGCTGGGCGAGTACTTCGCTGCTGGGAGTTGAGGGGTGCCGGTTGTCAACGGGGATGTGCTTGTCCCTGGTACCCGGGGCTTGTTCGTTGGCACTTGATGGCAAGGGCTAGTGACGTAGGACGCACGCAAACGTCTTCTGCAGCCGCAGGGATCTCGGCGTCCTGTTCTGCAACCACCTTCCCCTCCTTTGCTGGCTACAACGGTGTTTATAAACTCCCAAGCAGCCCTTTGGAAACCACTAGGCAGATGCACAAGGATAATTCCTTCCTAGCTTTGCTAGGATCGATGGGGTCTAGCTCCCTTCTAGTTATCTCAGGGCTGAGGGTCCGTGTGAACGAGCTGTTAGAGGGGACTTTCAGAAAGTAAATGACGGGAGTAGACCGACACGACCTCTCCCACGTGTCCAACCGCCTGCGATGCAGAGGAATAAGCCCAAGCCTCGTTCTCTTAGGCCATGACGGCAGGTGAGAGATACGTCAATGCCACGGGCGGGGCTTTCTCCACCATCACGTCCGATGAGCAGATCCCCGCGGCCATCGTGGGCGAGATCGTCATGACCTTGTTCCTGGTCCTGGCTGTCTGCATGGGAGCCATCAATGAGAAGACCAAGACCCCTCTGGCACCCTTCTGCATCGGCTTCACGGTCACGGCGGACATCCTGGCCGGGTGAGTGGGCCTGGCCTCCCTGGAGACCTGGACGGCCAGTGCCTGCTGCCTGCCAGCGAGCAGGGGAGCCTGAGCGCGGTCCCTAGAGCAGACGGGTGTCCGTTCAGGCCCAGGCACGGGGGGAAGCCTGAGTCCCCGCAGTGCACCGGTCTGACCGCTCTCCTCCCGGAGAGGCTCTGCGGTCTGTGCTGGGCAGCAATCCCTTCCCTGACTGTCCAGCACCGTGCACCACCCAGAAACCTCAGCGGGGAGCTTGCGATGCGAGCGCACAGGAAGGTGTCAGTAAAGCCGACCTTCGGGGACCGACCGGCCAGGGGTCTTGAGCCAGGCCGAGTTGTTCCCTGGGTCCTGGCGTGCGGATAAAAGCCCCGCTGGCGCCGTTCGCTCCGGCAGCAAAGCGCGGCTGGTTTGCTGGGAGCCGGTTCTCACCACGGGCTCTCGCTGCTGTTAGGAGGAAAGGCCCAGCCGGCTCGGCCTGAGCGCGCGCTGCCTGCAAGGAGATAACGAGAGCCGGCAATTATGAACGCTAATGGCTGTTGGGTTACGGCAGGGCCCCCTCTAGTGGGACGCAGAGCTCGCCGCTCGGTGCTCGCAGGCGACGGGCCAGGCACAAACGTCTCTGCTCTGCGGAGGGGCAGGACCAGCGCCCCTCGCCCGCTGCGGCCCGCGCCCCCCGGCTCCACGCTCTCCGCGTCCGGCTAGGCCCGTGTCACCAGGGCCGGCCGGATGTGTCTGGCTGGACTGCGGGCTGCTGTGTAGCCCCGGCTACTCGGGGCAGCTCCCCGGGCTTTGCAGCCGAGCCGGTTGCTTGCGGAAGCGACCTGTCCGCGGCGTCCTGGACTAGCCGGATGACCGGTGGCTCCCGTGTCCTCTCTCCTAGGGGCGCGGTATCGGGGGCCTGCATGAACCCTGCTAGAGCTTTCGGGCCAGCGCTGGTGGCAAACTACTGGGACTATCACTGGCTTTACTGGGTGGGGCCCATGGTAGCCAGCCTGCTCGCCAGTCTGCTGATAAGGTAGGTGCTGAGACGCTGCGCGCGGCGGGAGAGGGAGGAGGAGGGCGGTCTGCCCGGGTGTGGAGGGGTCCCGTGTCCCAACCCCGGCTGCTGTCACTCTGCCTGGTCCCCCTTCCCGAACCAAACAGTGGAGCCCATCCTGGCTCCTGCCTCCAGCCTGGGCAGGGGTCTGCGGGGGCCTGCCCAGCCCTTCCTGACCCCGAGCCAGATCTCAGACTCCAGAAGCATTAGCGAGAGGGGTGTCTGGGGCCAGGCTTCATTTGGGATCCCGGCCTGCCCCCCGCTCGCCTGCCGGAAAATGTCGGCAGGGGCAGGCGCTGGGCCCGGATACTCGTGCTGACCCACCCTTGCTCTCCTCCCTCCAGGCTCCTGCTCGGCGGCAGGGAAATCCGCCTGTTTCTGAAGTGAGACCGGGCACGGGACTGTGCCTCGGCTGGGTCCGTGGCCCCGTGCGAGTGCCTGCTGGTCGGGACGTGGGTCGGACTCGGGCGCAGGAAAGCTCTGCCGGCCCCGTGCCAGGCCGTGGCATCTCCGGCATGGTGGGGGGAGTGCGTGTCTCGGGTGGGCCGGCGGTGCTGGGACTTGCCTCTGAAGCTGCGGAGACCTGCGGGGTTGTCATGAAGGATGGGACTACGTGGCTGCACCCCACAGCTCTGGGCACTGGCCAGCCCCGGGGGGCAGACGAGACGAGGCCGAGCCGCGGCCGGAGCCTGGAGCGCAGGTGCGGAGGGGCCGGCAGGACTGACTTGCTCTGGCTGCGGCCAGAGCTGCCCCTCGGCCTCTCCAACCTGGAGGATGCTCCGTCGTCTTGCTCCGGGGACCGCAGCTCTCTCCCGGCCCTCGCCAGGCCCCCCGGGCGGTGGGAGGCACCCCGTCGCTGCACCCCTCTGGCAGACGGGGTCCTGGCTCGGCTCGTGCCAGCTGCGAGCGCCGGCTGACCGCTCTGCCTGTTGTCAGCCCCAAGAGGTGAACCAAAGCAGAGCAATGAGGGGAGTCCCCCGTGCCGGGCGGCCGATCCTGAAACTCTTTAGGGGAACAAAGGGGCTGAAGGATCAGCTCAGGCCCACGGGCAAGGAGGTCTCCACCCCCCGGCACCCGAGCCAGGCATGCTGCCCGCTGCGGGCCCCCCGGCATGCACGCTCCTGCGCTTCCTGCCTGCGACGGGCCGAGTCCTGCATTGCCGCGCTGCTGGTGCAGGGACCGGCCAGCAGGGGATGCTGGAACGAGCGGTCCCGAGCCACAGGGACACGCGGCCGCGTGGGGCCAGGCCTGATCCTGTCCTCGCCCCTCGTGGCGCTTGTGGCTGTAAGTGCATGGAGCAGTTTTTCCAGCAAGGAGCAGGTCTCTGGCTGCCACCTCAGGAGACATCTTGCTGCTTCGGGGGCAAGGGCACCTGCCCAGGGCTTCAGGGGCATGGGTTCGAGTCCTTGCTCCGCCACGTGCCACCTGTGGACCTGAGCAGGTCGCTACCTGTACAACGGGGAGAACAGCAGTGTCCCGCCAGGAGAAGTGTGTCGCAGGCTGTGTGCGCGGTGCTCAGGTGTGCTGGTGACGGACCCACCGTGCTGGCAGCTTGCTGAGTGCACGGGGTTTGCACAGAAAATCAGAGCCCGAGCTTGCGCGGGAGCCAGGGAGCCCTGTGGTTGTGGAGCTGGGGAGAAAGCCAGGAGTGCCTGGCTCCAGCCTCTGTAGGCAGCTGGTCCCTGGGCCCTGCAGAACTCTGCCACTGCCTCCCAGTGTGGACTTGGGCAAATCACTTTACCCCCCCTGTATACCTCAGTTTACCCATCTGTATAATGGGAAGAGCAATGCTGACCTGCTCCACAAAGGCGCGGTGGGATGTCTTAGCCAATAAAGTACACGGTGCCACAGAAAGGCTTTGTGCTGCTGACGATTTTGCACGTTCTCACGGTTTAGCCCCCAGTTTCCCATGCCAGGTGCCTGCTACAGGCTGGATCCTTCTGGAAAGTTTCCGCCAAGACGCTTGAGCAGCTTCCAGGAACGAGGTTAGAGAAAAACATGTTGTTTTCCCAGCACTGAGTCCCAACAGGCGTTTAACTGAGAAAATCTAGTGCTCACGTGTCCGAGAGGAAGCGCTGGAAACCTGGCAGGGCGCGTTGTTTTGAGAAGAGCCATGCGCCGCTCCCAGGAAAAACACGCTGGAGTTTGGCCCCGTTGTGGCACCTGCCACCTCCGCTCAGTAGAGATCCACCTGCCACCCCTTAGTTCCCTTTGTGTAGCCGCCCGGGTGGGGGTCAGGCCGGCAAGGCAAGGACCTTGGCCTGGGTTGGGGAGGGGGAGCCGAGCGGGTATTGGAGGGCAGCCTGGGCATGGGAAGGTGCAGGAGAGGGGCAGGGCGGGGGTGTCTCTTCCACCCTGGGCCCCCTGTGCCAGTGCCCGGGCGCTGGGCTGACGCGGCAGGGCCGTGTCGTGGAGGTGGCAAGGAAAGCTCCCCGGGGCGAGCCCACGGCCGGGGCTTGGCGGAGCTGCGGGCTCGGGAGAGAAGGCGGCGAGCGGCGTGGCACCCACCGGAGATGCTGCGAGGACGGTTGCCATAGCAACCCTTAAAAAAAGCCCAACTGCATCGAGCGAGGGGGCGAGAGCCGGGAGCCCCGCAGCATCGGGTGGAGGGAGAAAGTTGAGCTGAAGTTTTCCTCTCAGCCGTGCAGGCCCCGGCCCCGCGCTGGACGTCTGCAGGGCTCGCGCAGGGTCCCCGCAACCCCACGCAGGGGGCTGAGCGCGCCGGTCCCCGCAGGCTCGGGGCCCTGCCGTGGGCAGCTGCAGGCCTGGCGCGGAGCGAGCCCCTCGTTGCCCTTTGGGAAGGAAGCCGAGCCCTCCGGTTCCTCCAGTGTCGCGGCCTCTCCCGAGCTCCCTCCGTGTCCCCCTGAGAGCAGAGAGGATCCCACGTGTCCCGCGTGCACCGTCCTACGGGCGTGGAGCCGGCTCTGGCACCCAGCGTCTCCCGGTCCCGCGTGGCCCCGGCTTTGCCAGGCCCCGCCGCGGTTTCAAAGGGTGTCTGTACAACAGCTGCCTCTTTGGCACCGCTGGCGGGGCAGAGGAGCACGGGGAAGGCGCTCCCTTCCTCTTCGACTTGCAGGAAGCGCTGGGGAACGGGGGCTTGCGGGGGGCCGCCGACAGCTGAAGCCAAGAGCGCAGCAAATGCAGAGCCGCCTGCCCGCCCGCCCCGGCGGCCCTCTCCTCCGCCAGCCCCCTTGTTTTCCCGCTGGTGTGTTCGGCGTGCTCCTGTTTAATCTGTCAGGCAGCAGCTGGAGCAGCGCAATGGGCTCTTTTCCCCCTTCCCTCAGTGTTATTAAAATGCTTAATTTATGCTAATTAAATATCAATTAACTTCTGAGCACTTCATGTGCTTTGAAGATGTAAAGTATGTCTCTCTCCCCTGCAATTACACGTGCGGCAGGCCGGGCTGCATTTTGGGATCTGGGACGGGGCAGGCACGGGCAGCCGGAGACGGGGGCGAGCCGGGTGGGGGTCTCGGCTGGGGGCAGGCAAGACCAGGCAGGGCGCTGGGGCAGGAGCCTGGGTTGCTGCAGCCACGACCACGACCGTGGCCCTGCCTCCTCTGCCCGCTCCTTCCAGCGCTGCCTCCCCGCCGCGCTCCCTCCGGCTTGTCGCAGCTCCTAGGACCTTCCAGTTCGGGGCTGGACGGGGAGGGAACAGCCCCGGGGGCAGCACGCGGGGCGTGAGGCCGGATGGGGCCCTGCGGCCTGGCGTGACTCTTAAGCTCTGCCCTCACTCCGTCTAATCGCAGCCCCGTGCTTCATTCATCGCCTGGGCTGCAGGGACGTCAGCTCCGGTCCTCTCCGCATCCCCCGGTCTGTGGCCGGTCTTGGGAGCACCGGAGGGGCTGCGGGATCGGGGCTCGACCCGCTGGTGCATCTCCTGATGTCGCGTGCTGCTGAAACGCCCCCGAAGCTGCCGCAGCTCGGAGGGCCCGGTGTGAGCGGGCGGTGACTCAGGAGCTATTTGAGCTCAGTTATTCATAGCATGACTGGGGAGGGGGCGGTGGGCGCTGGGCCCGTTCCTGGGGGCGGCTCCTGGCACCCCGGCAGTGATGGCGTCAGGGATCTGTCCTCTCTTCCCCAGCCCCTGGGGTGCCGATGTCCCGGTGCTCCCCCCGTACAGGCCAGAGCCTCCCGCTCCGCTTGAGACGCCCCTCTCCGTCGGGATGGGGCCTGTGCACCAAAGCAGCCGTGCCCAGGCCTTTGAGACGGGAAGCGCCCCACCTCCGTGCAATGGGGACGTGAGCCGGTGGTCTTCCAGCCCCCTCACCCTGCTGGGCTTCAAAGCTGCTCCTCCAGCCCGGCGGCCGGCTCGCCCTGTTCCCGGGTCCTGGGCATGGCGCTGGGGGGGACCCCGGGCTGGGCAGTGGTCGTCCTCACATGGGGAAGCTCAGAGGAACCAGGAGGAAGGTTTTGCTGTCGTGTTTAATGCTGTAGTCAGGTGTCTCCCTGGACCAGCCGGCGCTGCCCTGACCCGGCTTGCGTGGCTGCGGATCCATTGCCAGCCCCACACGCGACCTGCCAGGCCGAGGCTGGGGGTTCGGTCCCCTTCCTAATGCACCCGCGGGCTGCCTCGGAGGTGGAGCAGGGAGACGAGACGGCGGCACCCGGGGTGGAAGCAGGGCCCCGCTTGCACTGTTGGGGCTGAGAACGGCTCCGTGGCAGCTGGACCCCGTGGCCAGGTAGCTCAGACGCACGCGCCCGCGAGTGCCAGCCCTGGTGTGCATGGAGCTGCGGGCTCCAGCCCTCGCCAGGTGCTTCCCACAGCCGGTTAGCTCGGTCCTGTCCTGAGGAGCTGCCTCTGCAAAATGCAAGCTGTTTTCCCTAGGGGCCACGCGCTCAGCTGGCGCACGGACACCCCAGGAGCAAAGAAACCGGTCAGGGGGTGGCCATAGGGCCAGGAGCCCAGTGCTGGGGCCGGCTGGGAGGAGCAGCGCTCCTGTCCCCAGAGCGGGGCTGAGCAGTCCTGCCTCAGTCATCTTCCCCGGGAGGCAGCACGTCGGCTGTGTCTGCCCGCTCGTAACTGGGGTTGCCTTGCTGGACCCGGCACTGTGCACACCCAAATCGTCCCAGCGTCGGGGAGGAAGGGAGAGAGGGTCCATTCAGTGCCTGGGACGCTTAAGGGGAGGAGGCTCGTTGGACCGGCTCCAGGCACGGGCCCTGGGAGAAAAGGCAGGGGTGAGCAAGGTCCTCCTCGTCCTCCCTCTGCCCTTGGCGCCATCCCCTCTGGTTGCTATGGCAATGACTGATGGCACGAATGCGGAGGGATGAGCAGGCTCCCCGCTGCACGAATTGCTGCTTGCCCTGGCTAATAAATGAGGAAGACGGAGAGTGAGCAGAGATGGTTGGGAGCTGGGCTCAATCACGCCTGCCAGGAGCTGGGCCGGAGTCAGCACACGTGTGCACACCCATGCACGCGCACACGCGTGCCGTGCCACAGGAGGGGCTGCTCCGGGGCTGTCCTCGGGGCCAGAGCTGCTACGTGCCTCTCTCCTCTGGGTA